CAGAGACCCTGGGAGCACAACCTAGGGAGAACAGGAAACCTACCTGTGATACTCTGTGACGACAATCCTGTGAACAACCTAAAAGAGAAAGACAAAGAAAACAGACAGAGATTTGGAGAGAACAACCTACAGAAAATGAGACTCACCTGTAATCTTCCTGATGGGAATGAATTTACCTGTGAAAGACAAGTGGCATGGACACGATCTGAAGAAGATGAGGAACAGGTTGAGGGAGAATGTAGTCAGATAGATGAAGGTGATATACCTAAGCAAGAAGTTCTCAAAATACCTACCTTGAGTGCAGATAAAATTGACCAAACAAGCTAAGTCCGAAAATCCACACGTGACAGAAGACCCACACCTACGTTAACTTATGAAACACTAGGTCAATGTAGTAAATCAGCTCAAAAGGGAAATATTTATGACTAATTATAACTGGTTATGATTAATAATAAATATTTAGATTAGATCTTAGAATTAACTGTAGCAGAATCAATATTACAATTATTTGATCTGTCCGTCCACCGAGCAGACAATATAATCATTTATCAATTCAAGGAAAGATTATTTTCCTGGCCAAGAAAGAATAACTTTCCTGCATACAGTACTAGCATTAACTTAGCATGTAGCAATATCCACACCCACCTTTTGGGTGGAATAGCCAATACCAGGCGTGACTTTTTGAGCGGGAGAAGCTTTCTTTGTCTCCCTTTATGGGCCATTTGCATGTTTATGGCCGGTCTGGAAGATTGGTGCAGTTTTAACCAAAATATGGTACAAATAGTATGATGCATTTCACGATCACATAGTGTACATCATTGTTTGAGGAATAAAGAGCAGATCATTTTGATACCAAGAACGAAACATCTAGAATATCTTAAAGCAGAGATACACTCATATACCGGAATATAAGCATTGAGAGTCTAACTAATACAAATAAAGAGTTGTAACTAGGCTAATACAATAGGGAAACATACAAACAACACATGCATATACCAGATACAATTGTAACTGATTAATTATTGTCTAAATAAAGAAAAGGTCTATATGTGTGTGTGTTGTGTATTGTGTGTATGGTGTAGTTTTGCAGGTCAGCCAGGCCCATTGGCGCCTGGCACCGGGGGTCATTTACTTCTCTTTGGAAACTGTTTGAAGTCAGATGGGGAGATGATAGTGGTAGACTGCTTAGCATCTCCTTGATAGTGGGGGGAACCATTTGACAATTTAGCACCCATATAAATGTAGAATCTGTGGCCAGGACTGTAATTTATATGCAAATGTCAAAGGCTAAAAGGGGTCTCTTAAGCCATAAAACCAAACGATCGTACATGATCCTATGCAGACGCTACATCAGTCAGCAATTCAGTCATATCCAACAGTAAACAGTTTAGAGACTTACGAGATAAATCAGACACCATATTGGGGGTTATCATCTTATCACATTCCACCTTACCACATTTCACCTTACCACATTACACCTTACGTTAGTACACCTTATTCTATCCTTACACCACAAGTCACATTTCCATTTTGGGTACCCCCTATGATAATCGGTTACTAGAAGAGTGAAGATAAAAGAGCTGGTATGATGAAAGAATATGTTGGCAGGAGCCATCTTTTCTTTGTTGGGGAGTGTGTGATACACCATTGTGTATTCACAATTGCAATGTTTGTTTTGTTATTAATATTTATTTATTAATGTATTTATTTATTTATTTATTTATGATGTGAAGAAGAGTTTATTGTGCACACAGTCATCTATCAATTATCACCACTAAAGACTGAGTTTGAGTCAATACAGCTCTAGCCACCAGAGAAAGCACGCGCTGTGGGTTACCATGGTGACCCACAGCGCATTGTGTTTACCTCAGACGCTACCAAGCTGCACCTGCGGAAAGACACTGAAGTTTGCGTGTGCTTTTGTTTCTCCTGATAATTCAGGTACTTTTAATCTGCCTACGTGTCTGCTCCCGGGACCCATAACACCAGTTTGCCCAATAGTATTTCGACACCCCGGGTTGCCAGTTGACGGAAGCCAGTAAACGAACTGAATCAGAGATCGCAGATTTTACCCAACCTAAAAATCCTCGCCATTCATAGCTCTATGACAAGAATCGTATTAAAATGCGGAAAAATCAACTCATCAACTTACGATGTAAGCCTATGCATAATATGGAGCTTTACTTATAATATTAAGGTGCATTTCTGTAGATCTGACTGATTTTGAATTGTAATTTTGGCAGCCCCTGTAATGGGTCATATTGACATTACCTGAGCGGTTAAATTAAATATGCAATAGCGCTCGTTAAAAGGACGTGCATTTATTGCTTGGATGGAGCAAGAACACTTAAGTGTCTAAAATGCATGTGCAGTCGAGTTATATAGTTTACCCTCTTTAACTTAATGCTGTTGAACTGAATGTACAAAGCAAACTATTAGCTAAAATAACCACAACATTAACAGGCAGTTTATCTGTCAGTCAGATGCATGTGAAAGTTGCATGTGTTACTATAACAAACACTGCATATTTTCTTTCAGAATCATCATTGGCTGGTAGAAAGAAAAATGGATTACATAGATTTTTGCTTAAAAATGAAGATAAGGTAAAGGTGTGATTAATTAAGGAGGGAAATTATTGATGATTCAATGAGCCATTCATAAAGACAGTCACTTGCTTCATTTCTGAATGAATCAGCCATTTGAATGAATCAGTTGAATGAATGACTGAATGACTCACTCAAGACAGCAATTTGCCGCCACCTACTGGCGCTTTTAGTTTCATATTTAGAGTATCAATTCTTTATTTTTTTTGAAAATAATTTAATATTTAAATTTTTTTTATGATGAATCAAAATATTTCTTTCTAAAGTTACTTTTTTTAAAACGTCTATTGAGTGTGTTTCTATTTTAACACAATAATGACTTTAAATTATCAGTAATAATGACTTTAAATGATTATTAATCAGCAAGTGATGTGCCAATTAATTAATCTAATTAATTTGTGATTAATTTGATTGATCTCATTTGATTGAAATTAGATTTTATGAGTTTGTTTTGGAACGCTTGTGGTATTAATTTTATTTGTGCAGATCATAAAAAAAGATCTTCAAAAGTTTTACTTTTGATTTTTAAAAACTCAAAAGCGCCATGGATGCTGCCCCTTCCAGTGTCCTGTGCGAGCCGCCTGCGCCCCTTTTTGGTGTAGGCCAGGGCTCACACCAAGAAGGCCAGTCACTGTTGCCGTAACACTATCCACTCAGTGAGATTGGATAACACTGAGAAAACGTACCCGTTCCACTTGGAACAGGAATGTTGCTGAAACCCCATCCTTCCCGAAGGAGGTTTCGGAAGCACGTATGAACAACCGTTTAGGTGCATATGGAAGATTAGAGGTCATTATAACCCTCTTGGAAATGGCAGAAGTCTGCCGGGGAAACACGGGCTCTGAGGCTATACCGTGGACTTTACACATATGGGATCCACTTAGATCTCTACATATGGGGGCCGCCCTCGGCGACGAGAAGACTGAGGAGCTGCTGCTGGTGGAGGCAGCAGCTGCACGCCGGGGCAGGATGTGTTTGATGGCCTCGGTCTGCTTCTGTGCTGCGGAGAACTGCTGGGTGAAGTTCTCCACTGCGTCGCTGAAGAGGCCGGTCTGGGACACGGGGGCATTTAAAAACCGAGTCTTGTCGGTCTCCCTCATGTCGGCCAAACACAGCCAGAGATGGTATTCCTGGACCACCATAGTGGACATTGCACGGCCCAGAGACCGCGCCGTGACCTCCGTCGCTCGTAGCGCAAGGCCGGTAGCGGTGCGGAGATCTTTAAGAACTTCTGGGTCGTGCCCACCCTCGTGCAGGTCCTTCAGTGCCTTGGCCTGATGAACCTGCAACAATGCCATGGCGTGTACGGCAGAGGCAGCTTCTCTGCAGGCCGCATAAGCACTGCCGGTCAGGGCCAACGAGTACCTACAGGCCCGGGAGGGGAGCGACGGCTTGCCCCACCAGGTGGCAGTGGTATTTGGACACAATTGCATCGCGGCCGACCGCTCCACTGGAGGGACTTCCGTATACCCCCGCGCTGCCCCACCATTGATGGTAGTCAGGGAGGATGAGCCACCGGGGCAGTTTCTAGCAGTGAAAGGTGCCGTCCACGACCCAGTGAGCTCATCATGCACTTCCGGGAAGAAAGGCACTGGGGTGGGGCCCTGAGAACCAGCGCGAGCCACCCGAGAAACCAATCAGCCAGCCTCGAGGGCTCGGGACGCGGTGGAGGATTCCAGTCGAGCCCAACCCTCTTGGCGGCCCAGGCAAGCATAGCCACCATTTCCGGATCCGAATCCGGCATCGCTGGCCACCCAGAAGGTGGCAGCGCTGCTGGATCATCATCATCTCCAGATAGGTCTGGCTCACCCTCCGATGCAGCGATCGACATCCCATCGTCGGGGGGAGCGCCGAAGGATACAAGTGGTACCCTACGGGAGGGTCCAGCCTGTTCCCTGGGCAGCTCCACTGGCTCCGAAGTGCCGGTGGAAGGAGGAGCCCTCAGAGGTTGGTTCCTCGGAGGGGAATTCCTCGCCGTCACCGTAAGACCAGTCTGACTACTGCCAGAAGTAGCGCCCCCCCGGCTCTTGCCAGGGGGAACACTAGATCTAGGCAGGGGTACGGGAACCCCACCCCTTTGCAGGAAACGGAGCCTGGTCCGCAACTCCGCGATGGTCATTTTCCCGCAATGAGAGCATGACTCGTCCACAAATGCCGCCTCAGCATGCTTAGTGCCCAGACACGTGAGACAGCGATCGTGACCATCACCCGGCACCAGGTAACGACCACATCCAGAAACGCACAGGTGAAAAGGCATCTTTAAAAATACGCATCTTTAAAAAGACGTCCACCCGTGAATGCTCTTTTAGAGATTGCTCTTTTAAATGTGCTGAAGCGCACAGGGGAGATGGCCGCCTGCAACACAAACAGGGGATAGTGCAGCTTGATGTGTGTAATCTACTCGACACGGGAAGAACCACCGCCACTGAAGCGCCGCAGAGCCAACACCAGAGCTTCCCAAGAGCGCGCTGAACTCGTTGAGTCTTCACTCTGTAGCAGAGAAGTCAGGAGCAGAACAATATAACCACTCGGCTCCAAAGCGAAAAGCTGAGTATGCGTTGCATCTGCTGCCTAATTATACTCGCGCTGCGATCAGCGGCAGCTGGATGCAATCATTGCATGCCAAGTGGTCTCTCGAGATCCCAATTTGTCGGTCACCGACGTGACGTCGAGAGTGACCGACTGAAAGGGAACCAGAATTTAAGTTTTGACATGCTGCAGAGCGCCCCCAATTAAAAATTGCTCTGAAATACGAAAATTACTTTTGAAAGTCTCGTGATTTTCAGGTCCCCAAAATTTTGATTCATTTTCATTTAAACTTTACAAAAAGTAATAAAACTATTTTATTTCTTACACATGTAAGTTTAAATAATTCTATGTGCCCTTGTTTTAATCTTTCAGATTTTCTAGTTTATAAATGTGTGTGTGTGTGTGTGTGTGTGTGTGTGTGTGTGTGTGTGTGTGTGTTATTTAAAAAAAGCTTTATTGGCAAAGCAAATAAACATAGCAAATATTTTATGATCAGACTAATTTGTAGTTTCAAAATTACGTACTATATGGGCTATATACTATATACAGAAAGCACTCACAATGCTGTTTCACTTTCACCTGTGTCTCTCTGACACACACAAACACACACACACAGATATTTATCTTTACAGAACGTACTTGTCAGGGCAATTCTTACTTCCATTGGTGTTGTTTTATTATTATTTGTGTGTGTGTGTGTGTGTGTCCCAGCACCCTAGCCACATTGAAAACTGGGCATTCGGAGCAGAAATCTACATGACAGGGGTCCTGCCCCATCGGGCACCCAAGGGTTCTATGAAGAACACAATAACTACTTCATATTTGTACAGACAAGAGTCTGTATTCTTTTATTTGTGAAGACTTACATAAATATTACGTTACATGATGTTCGACGAGTATTGTCAGATTGTTGGTTGAAAAGAATATGTTGCTAATCAGTTGGCAAATAAAGAAATTCTACTATTATAAAGGCATGGTACAGTAATGAAAATTTATAAATAAGCATTTATTAAGCTGCTTTATTTTAGTTTGTGGAAGGTTACAAAACAAACATTAGGTAAACTGTAAATTCTTTGTAATTGTAATTTTCTTCAGAATAACATGCCTTAATTACTGTATACTTAATTTGAGAAAAAAAACTGAAATATTGATTGTAATAGCTCTCATGAATTTAAGAAAAGGCATTAAGCATCAACCTGAAATTTCAAAGTTAGGCACATTTCTTAGCTATCAAACGGGATTTGATTTGTCTCTGTCCAAAAACTGAGCATGAGGGTTGAGTCTTAAGAGTCTGTCCAACATCTTTCTGGTCTCTCTCAACTCCTGTTCAGCTCTTTCCAGCTGTCTGTCTTTTTCTTTGCAAGCCTTAATTAACATTTTCTGAAGCTCCTCTAAAAAAATTGCACATTATGTTTAGAATAATTTCTTAATATTAATTTGTATTATATTATTAATTTGTTTCCTATATCAGATAGATCATCTGTTTCTTGGATATAACCTTTCGTGAACTTGATAAAATTTCCAATAACACTCACCAGCCATTAGAGCAGATTTATTCATTTTGTCTGTCTCCTGTTTAGTCCATATTTTGTCTGTCTGTAAGGTGAAGAAAAATACATTGGGGTCATACAAACTAGATATGAAAACTTGGTAAATAATTTAATAAATTTTTTAAAATAAATTTATTTATTCTATTGCTAATTCTATTGTTTTTAGAATATGCCAGTGAGAAACTTTAACTGACTCCTTCAGTTATGTCTTTAACAGATTTTTTTTTTTATACTACATGTTTGAGTGTCACGTTCAAACCAAGTAAAATGATCTGACATCCCTGACATATCTGTTAATAATTAGACTAGACAGCATAAATAAATTCCATTCAAACCACAGTGCAGTCAATTGAAATGAATTAACCTGTAGGCTTTCTTACCTCAAACAGCTTTAGCTGAATACTTCGGCCTTGGAATGTTGGTGACTGACTCACATGTTGGACCTCAGATTTTATCCTCACTAAGAAGACAATGTGTTAATAGGTTTGTGTGAAATCTGTGATTTTAGATACTCAACTAATAACTACACAACTACACTAATTAATTTAGGATTGGGCTTCTATAAGTGGCATTATATAAAACACTATAGCTTAAAAATGCATCCTATCCCAACAAGTGATTTCAGTTTACTTTAGTCTGACAAAATATTGTTAATAAGCGCTCTGGGCTGATGTAGTATGGACCTGCAGAATACTCACCTCCTACTGTAATCTGTTGTGTTCTGTCTCCACTGATGACCTGACAATAGTAATCACCAACATCTGAGACACTGAAATTATTTAGATGTAAGGACACATTTCCTCTCTCCAGTATGTGAGTGGCGAGACTCGCTCTGTCTTTGTAGCTACTCCCCTCAATCACATGTCCGTTCTTGTAGATGCAAACACAGTCTGTCTCCTTAAACCATTTGATCTGCATGGCAATGGCACAGATTTCAGGAGACAAGTGACAAGGAACGATGATTTTAGACCCCATATAAATCTGTGCTTCTTGAGCTGTTTGAGGAATAACAAGCTGAAAATTATCTGTGAGGAAAAGAGAGAAAGATGGTCTTACACGCATTACAACTTTCACCTTTACTTACACACACACTACACAAAAATTGATAGCACAAAAATATTAGAATGAATAAAACCAATGAAGTGTTAATTATTTTAAGGAAACTTACCAGAGACACTCTTGCTGTAATTCTAATTTAATGAAAACAACACAGTGAAGAGATTTTAGACTTCTTTCACCATCACATCCAATCATTCATTTTACAGTGGTTCTTTATGAAAGAGTCACAACATAAAGTCAGTTTTGACAATGTAACAATATGCAGCATATGAATTTTTAGGATGAATACTGATGAATATTAAATGTATTTATTCTTCATTTAAAGGGGTCATATGATACTTTTTTAAAGATCATTAGTTTGTGTATTTGGTGTAACAGAATATGCTGACATGCTTTAATGTTCAAAAAACACATTATTTTTCAAATACTGTACATTATTGTAGGTCCTCTATGCCCCGCCTCTCTCAAACGCTTCGTTTTCTACAAAGTCCCTCCTTC